CTGCAAGTCTGCGGGTACAAATTCTTGCTCAATGTGGAAAAATAATTCATCGACAGTGTTTATTCTGCTGCGTGACCAGACATACCAATCGGCAGCTGTGCCTGTAAGCATGCTCCCGATAGTCGGTATAATCGTGGCGGCCATTGTCGCACTCTTCCAATCCACTCGTCTCACTTCAAAATACTGTTGAACCTGTTCTTTGAATAATGCAAAGGACTCTTGCATTTGGCCACTGTAGCGAGGCGCCTTCACTGCGTCAAGTCGAAGATCCTTGAGCGTCGTCGCTTCGGCCATTTTAACGTCAGCAACGCTCGCTCCTTGAGCTGCTAAACTCCTGACCGTCTATCAAGTTCAACGACGATTGTGGTCAGACGGGCTCACCTGTGGAGATGCTCCCGATGCGGGATTTGTTTCCTCGCACAATCTCCGGCGAACCTCAGGATTACGGCAATGAAGACGACGGGCGCCCGTTCCCGTACGTTACTTGTCCGACTTGCACCGTCGGGCGATCGAAGTTCGGAGCGACGTCTCGGCAGTCTACTTGGAGACAGAGCTGCTACGAACTACGACTTGGGCAGCCTACGTGGGGAAAGAGCTGGTCGAACGCGAAGAGCAAAAGGCACATCGGTGAACTCAATCGATCGCTTCCTCGCAGTAGCAGCTGAGACAAAAGTCAAAAAGATAGTAGCACAGCGACGGTGCGTGTTGTCCTCGTCGTCCGTTCCATTGGACCACAGTACTTACGACGACGACGATGTGGCTTCTTGACATTCGTTCGACGCTAGCGAATTGGCAGTCGGCTGTGCGCTATTGCTGGTCCGCAAAGAGCTCGTGGGCGATCAAGAAGCAGTAGCAGCTCAGACACGAACAGCAGCGTAGAAGTCGCACGACCCCTTCACGAAATGAGGCGACAGCGGGGACTCGTCTCGGCACGAGCCACGCGTCTGACCCGCTGACAAACAATCCCAACTTTGCGTGACGACCAGCAGTTGCTCCTGCCGTGTCTTTGCTCCATCTCTTTCCAGCGTCTCCACTTGTTGTCTCAGGGACGTAAACACGTGCCCGTCAGCGCTCCAACACCACGAACGTCATCGGTGGCAAGATCTGACTCGACTCCAAGTCGTCCGGAGGCCATCAGTATCGCAAGTGACGAAAGAAACGAGTCGTGCTCAGGCCTCGCGAGCGATGGGTTCTGCGCCGTCCGTGTTCCTTGTTGACGGCAGTTCAATCTCATCGCTCTTGCGCGATGTGCGTGTCCGCGTGATTTGTCTACTTCGACGCGCGTTTGTATGTTGTGTGGTCAAGAAGAGCTCGCGCAGGAGCGCAGAAGAAGGCAACAGCAGATGCACGCGCGACGGCGGCTGCAAACCACCTTCTAGATCCATCCATCCATCCACGCACGCACACACCCACTCACTCTCATAGACCGACACACAGATCGACAGGATCAGACCCGCGTCCGTCGCCTGCCATCGTCACTTTTGCATTGCTCTCTTCTTCCACTGGAGCAAACCACCGCCGACCGCTTCGTCCGCAAGTGCAAAGACTCCCTCCCTCCCTCAATCCCTCACTCGGTCACTCGTCTCGACCGCTGCTCCACGTCATGGCTTCCACCACGCGCGTCTTGGGCGTGATCGGCGGCTCCAGTCTCTTCCACGCCAAGAGCTTCTCGTCCGGACTGGTCGAGCAGGTCGTCAACACGCCATTCGGCGGCGTCGCGTGCCACGTCGGAACGTGGTCCGCTCCGAGCACCGCCGACGATGTCCCTTCGAAGCTGCAGCTCGTCTTCGTGCAGCGTCATCACGCCGATCCAGACGGCGAGTACCGCCAGCCGCGGCTGATCAACTTCCGCGCCATTGCATCGGCGCTGCAGCTGCTGCACTGCGCGGCCGTCATCGGTATCTACTCGGTCGGGTCCATGACCCCCACGATCGACGTGGGACGCTTCGTCGTGCCCAACGACTTCTTCAGTCCGTTCGACATCCTGCACCTGTCCAATGGCTACGACGCCCACGTCGTGCCGGGCCTCGACACTAAGCTCCAGGGCGCGATCCTGCAGGCGCTGCAAGGCGGAGGTTTCGAGCCGCACGACGGCGGCGTCTACGTGCAAACGGCCGGTCCGCGCTTCGAGACCAAGTCGGAAGTGCGGTTCTTCGCCCAGTTCGGTCAGCTCGTCGGTATGACTGGCGCCAATGAGGCCGAGCTCCTGAACGAGCTGCACGTGCCGTTCGCCATGTTCTCCATCGTGGACAACATGGCCAACGGCCTGGGCGACCGGCTCACGCTCGAGGCGTTCAAAGCCACGCAAGAGGCCAATGCTGGCAAAATGGAGCGCGCGGTGGTCCACGTGCTGAACGAAGTGACGAGTCGCGACACGTTGGCTGCGCTCGCCACGACGTCATGAGCGACAGCTCAGCTCAGTGAAGAAGTGGGTAGGCAGGTAGCAGACGTGCAGGTCGATAGTCGGCAGGTAGTCGGTAGGCAGGCAGATAGTCGGTAGGCAGGCAGATAGTCGGTAGGCAGGCAGATGGTCGGTAGATAGATAGACATATCACTGGGTACTGTAGGAGCTCTGATAACCGCCAGCAGCTCCACTGCTTTCAGCTGTGATAGCTGTTTTGAACATCGTCCCCCCTCACTTTACTTATCTCTCCCCTGCTCAGCACCATCCGAAACCCTTTGACGCTGAGCCACTGCATCGCCCGTGACATGGCGACCTCCGACACGGCGTTCATGCGCATGGCCATTGCCGAAGCGCACCGCTCGCAGCCGTCTGAAAACGCGTATTGCGTCGGCTGCGTCGTCGTGCGCGACGGTCGCGTCCTGAGCTCGGGATTCTCGCGCGAGCTCCCGGGCAACACGCACGCAGAGCAAGTGGCGCTGCAGAAGCTCAGCTTTGACGCACAGGGGGCGACGGTGTACACGACCATGGAGCCGTGCAGCACCCGCGTGTCGGGCAACGTCCCGTGCGTCCAGACCTGTCTTCGCGCAGGCGTCGCGCGCGTCGTTATTGGCGTGATGGAGCCAAAGACGTTCGTGGTGTGCGAAGGCGTGCGACTGCTCCAGGACGCGGGAGTGGATGTGCGGCTGCTGGAGGGACTCGAGCGTGACTGTCTCGCTCCGAACGCGCACCTCGCGCTCGTCAACTAGTCGGACAATCCGTGGCAACCAAATGGTCGCTCAAGTCATTGCCAATGCATCGCTCGCTTCACTTACCCGTTCTCCATCTCTTGTAGCGCCTTTTCCTCACACACCAAAGCTATCGCTCTTCATTGTCACTTCACGCTTCTTGACACCTGTTCGAGTGGAGAAGTTGTGGCGAGCGTGGTGCCCTGTGTCCGCCTGGTAAGCAGTAGAAAGCAGCGGTCTGCACACTTTCATTCCAGATGCAAAGTTGACGAGACGTCTGTCTCCCCGCGACTTTGTTGTCTACATGAGGTAGAGCGAACTGGAACGGTCAGAAGCACCATCAGAGGTGAGCGCATGTACGATTCAGGGGATGCAACTGATGACATGTGCTTCCTCGTACATTGATCCGAGCGTAAGAGAAACCACACAGAACACTGCTGCAAGGCAAAGTTGGCATTTCAGCTTTTGGTTTGCGTACTACGTGTAACGCATCAACTTACGTTGAGCCTCAGTGTTTTGCTGCAATGCAAGATCGACGCGGATGCATGTCAAAAGAGCGATTTGGTGCATAGCAAAAGGAAGCGGCACCGTGTTGACGATAACCTGGTAAACACGTGATGTAAGATTAGCATGGTGCACTAAGCCTTGCGTTGCTCCTTGGACGCAGACTCAGAAAAAAAGCAGCGGTCACGCAGACCTGTCTGCACAAAATGTGGTAGGGACACTGCGTAGCGGGGATGGTGACAGCGTGACGCTCATCACTGCTACTTCTTTGCTGGAACGTGACTGTGGCTTCGATCATGACTCGCAGCGCCCAACAGTAGCAACGGCTCATGCACCAATAATGAAGCTGGGATAAGCATACCACGACTGGACCAGCTATCGAGTCGCAGTAGGGCGATCAAGGCATCAATCGCCGGACAGAACGTGACACCGACTGTCAAACACTGTAATGCTTCCGACGGGTGAAGGATGCAATGAAACAAAGGAGACCATGAGACATGTATTCTGGTTGTGCCTTTTGCGCGCAGACCTGTAACTGGAGATCTGTCTGTTATTGGACGAGTGAACATTGAGAGTTAGGCCGACTGCACGGCACCTTCACCTATAGTGCATGCAGACACGCGCTGGGGCTGTCAATGGTGATCAAGAAACGGATTCTGTCGAGTCAATCCTGACCAGGAGCAAGACATTGCAAAAGCACGGGCACATGTGCGGCACATACTAAGCGGCGTTTGTATAACTAGCTTGCGGGTACAACGGAAGCGAGTGACGTTCCCATATGCGAACGTCAGCATCGAAGGCAGCGTCACGAGATGCTAGGATACAGACATGAGGCGACTTCGATCTGCAAAAGTAGGAGCCTCGAAGGACCGACACGAAGTACAAGTAGCACGACTAGTATCGCGCTAACGCAACATTGTTTAACAATTCAGACAGCTGTCACCCAAGGTCAACTCAGCCCCGTACAACTACCGGACTCGCACAAGACACCGGCTCTGCTAACAAGGCCTAGGGGATATTTGACATCCTGCGACCGTTGAAGCTTGAACAGACACGTATGTCTTTATACAAGCTGGAATAAAGTAACGCTGATTAAGCTAGTACAGCTTCCCACACCTTCGGCCATTGCCGGTCTCGCTTTGCCGCTTTCTTTCAGGTATTTCGCATTGTGACGCACTTTAGTCGCCACTGATGCCCAAAACAGCGACACGAGCAGAAGACTGGAGCGGTTTTTAGTGACTTGAGCCAGAATTTCAAATGGCCAAATAAAGGTATCAGGCTGATCCAGAATGTGGTACTAGACGACACGTTTATGACCCTCAGCGTTATAACGACTACGCCAACCAATAGCGTACTAGACGAAGGTGATGGTATCGGCATTCAAGGCCAGTGAAAAGCGGTGGAAACGCGCAACGGAAGCGGATCTTTTGACCGATCCAGCGCTGCTCGATCCACGCCATCTCAGTGAGGAGCAGCGAGCGAAGATGCAGTGCATAGGGTCCTGGAGATGGAAGGCCGAAGACGAGGAACGACCCATACTGGCCCTCGACAACTTTGGCGCGTCCCACTGCGGCTTCCGTGTCATTCCGAACGCGCTAAACGCCAGGACGCAATTGGAACTCGCTCGTTCCTGTCTGTACGTGCCGTAAAACACCGCTTTGGACGCAAAGTCCGAGCTTGACCTCGTTGGTTTTCCGTGCAGGACCGAGTTCGCCGAAGAGCCACACGTAACCAACATGCACCTGCAGAATCAGAACGTCCGACATATCTGGAAAAAGGCGCGCGCGTCGCATCCGAAGGATCCTGCAAAGTCTCCGCTACTCGCAAAGTTGTGCTGGGCGGCTTCAGGATACCACTACGATTGGACCGCAAGGAGGTACGATAAAAACAGCTTTTCGCTCGTACCTGAGATCCTGCAGCGACTTGGTGGCAAGTGCGCTGCTGCATGCGGTATGACATTGACGGCTGAAGCGGTGATAGTCAATTTCTACAAGATGAAGTCCTCTATGGGTGGGCACTTGGATGATGTCGAGTACACGATGGATCATCCTGTAGTGTCTGTGTCTCTCGGTAGTGAATGTGTGTTCCTATTGGGCTGTCAGGGAAAAGATAAGCCGCCACTACCACTGCTACTACGAAGCGGCGACATTGCAATTATGGGCGGTGCGTCGAGAACGTGCTATCACGGCGTGGCTCGCGTGCTGCCCACTCCATACAGCATTGCGGATGGGGATCTTAACAAGCTCTGCCACAATGAAAAGGATCGTGAAGAGTACGAGGCACTTCAAATTTATCTGAGTACCCAGCGCATTAACATCAACGTGCGCCAGGTTTACCCGACACACCAGGCCACAGATTGAACCATTCATTGGCTGTCGGAATAGAGATAGACGAAGTGTAGTATGTTTTTGGTCTTTGGTGAAGCAAAAATATTGAGCTTGGTGGACTGAACTAGCAACCTAAGTGTTTTCCGATAGCCAAGAGCAACTGTAAAAACGAGCGTAGGACGAAACGCCTCGCCTTTACAGTCTAAGAGTCGCAAGTCTTCGCTACTAGGCACCAATCGCCAAGCTTTGTCCTGTGTGAGGAAGAGGGGTCTGAACGACGTGGTGCGTCGGGTCGTTTGGTTTAGTTATACGTCTTTCTTCTTCTTACCGGTCAATCTAGTGCGGCAGGCACGATTAGCAAAGACATGGGCGAATGCCGCTGCATCTTGACTCGTTTAGCGCGCCAGTCAAGGATGATGCGGCTGTAGAGCATCGATATGGTCTACCAGGCGGTGGTAATGGTCTGGACGAGCTGATTATAATTCTGTGGAAGCATACTGGCGTCTAGGGCCGCCCTTTATTTGTTCAAGCCGTTTATCGAAGACAGTGCAACATCTCGGTGAAAATTGTAATGCAACGCATTCGCGGATACAGCACCATGCTCCACCTGCAACGGGGTGTGCCCATCACATGTCCTTGACACCATACCTGGGTCCATTTTAATAGACCGTACAAATAAATATGATATATTTTACTGTACTAGGTTGTTAGTGAATACTTTCGATCTTCGAAGGTATTATTCGATATTGCTCCACACTTTTGTTGATCTAGCTAGGCATTCAATCAATCAACAAAACCACCAATCGCTGCCACGCGCGCGCAACAATTAAAAAGCAAGTTTTCTATACACATTTATATTACAAGCGCTTGTCTGCCATAGTTAAAGTAAGACAAAAGGTATACATGAATAAGAGATTTCAAAAACGAGCATTTGCAGTTTCAACTATTCCTTCTGCTAAGCGTGTTCGTTTCGTTGAAACAAATTTCTATGCACGTACAGTGTAAGTGAGGTTTCGAGGCAACTGCCGATCTTTTTTCAGCGTCAGTAGCTTGTACTGTGTCGTACAAGCGTCCGATACCCCGTTATACCTGGTAAAACTCCGTGGTGTGTCCGACGACCACGGATATTCTTTTAAACATAAGCAACATAAATGATGATGAGAGTACCTTCCACGCCCACGTTCAGGCATCTACCATTCATTTAAAATCATTTAACATACCGTCTAATATATAAGTTTGACCGTCGGCGTACCTGCCGTCAACGCAATGCTGTTCTCTTTGGAAAGAGATATGCAACATGCTGCAACGGCCAAACGTATCCGGCACTGCTTAATGCAAAACGTAATCATAAACCTTGTTTCGTCAACAAGGTTCACAATAGACCGATCTGTCGAAAAAAGTTGCAGGCTTCACAGTTCAGACTGACGGATCAGCAGCAAGCCCTACTGCTACCGGGTCGGCGCACATATTGTCAACGCAGGTACTTATATAATAATACAAATAAGTCTGTTACGGGGCAGCCCCTTACATGGAAGTGTCACTTTAAAAGAAAGTGACAACAAATAATATTAAGTGAATATTCTTTAAACGACATCACCGATAATGGTGATATTGTTGAAGCGACCAAAGAGTCTGCTCATTGGTTCATATCTTGACGATATCAACCCACCAATCGCCGCAAGACGCGCGCAATGAGTGGTGACGAGACGTCACCATACACTTAGTTAGATTAATATGATTAAGTCAGGTTAAACAAAGAGACAGTTGCAAAAAGACTGAATTATATTAATATAAAAGTTTTACTTACTCCTTATCCTACGCTTCCTCGTTCGCCTAGTGTACGTCTGTCGGGGCACCCGAAACCCTTGCGTTAAGTTCACGCAAGGGTGTGCCCCGTTACACCTGGTAGCACTTTGTAGTCCTTCCAAGGACCACAACATCCAACATGAACATGTTGGATGATAGAGAGACCTTTCACGCCACGCGTGAAGGGTTTACTCATTTGAATGACATCATATGGAGTGCGGTAGAACGTACGAGTTCTACCGTAGGCGAGTTCGCCATTAGCGCCATGTTGGAGTCTCTAGACAGAGACCAACAACATGCCGCTATCGCCAAGTTCATTCAGAATGAACTTGCTCTCGAAAGGGAGAAAGTAGCCTTGCTTCACCAGCAAGGCTCTCAACAGGCCGAGCAGTTGAGAGGACTCGGTTCTCAACAGACAGAAATGTTGAGACAGCAGCAATTCCATGCTGCTGTGGGCGGGACGGCGCATGCGCGTCGTCCCGAAGTCATGAAAGTTGACATTTCCAAGTACAGTGGAGTCCCGGAGGACTCCCTGTTACTATGGTTTGTCGAACTCGACAGAGCGCTAAGGGCTCGTCGCGTCGAAGATGAGCAAATGAAACTCACATTTGCTCAGACCCACTTGGCAGGGCGTGCCAAAACTTGGTCCCTGGGACTCGAGAGTAGCGACCCAAACGTGTTTAGGTCGCTAGATGACTTCAAGTCCCGGCTCAGACAAACGTTTGAGCCGCCACGAGCTGAGTTCAGGGCTCGCTCAGAGCTCCTGAAACTCAAGCAGGGTAAGCGTGATGTGCACGCTTACGCACAACATATACGACTCCTTGCGAGTAGTATAACTGCCAACCCAGAACATGAACACACGTTGATTACGGTGTTCATGCAAGGGCTCGCAGAAGGGCCCGTCAGGAGCCACCTGTTCCGCCTTGAGCTGAATACGCTTGAAGAAGCGATATCAGCCGCGGAACAGGAAGACTTTAGCATGAGACAGGCTCATGCTAGCTCAAACTCTTACCGTCCACCGAGACGACAAGAGATCGGAGGTCCAGAACCAATGGACCTCTGCTATGTTGAGAGCGAGAGACCTCGCTCTTCAAACAACAAGCGATTGCAGAGGTGCAATCGCTGTCAGAAGTTAGGGCGCTACGCATACGAGTGTCGTGCTCCACGCCCAGTACCAAACAGTACTGAGCGAAATGGACGACCTTTTGCCAGAAAGGGCAATGGGCGTGGGTCCAGCGCTGTTGCGAAGCTCGCAACAGCGAGACGGACCATCAAAAAATGGACGGGGTCAGTAGGGGCGGAGCGCCCTACTGATCCAGCAACCTCAAGAGAATTTGCAAATCTCTTGACGAAAGTTGCTCCAGATACATAATCATTGTGTGTGTCTGCACCTGGTGACGAGTTGTCACTCATCACCTTGAAATTGTAAGTGACAAAAGACTTGTCGCTTCGTGCCCTAGTAGACTGTGGGGCGTCGAACAACTTTGTTCGTCGCCAGTCACTAGAGGGTCGTAGGCTCAAGTTCGTTGAGCGCGACATTCCCCTCACAAGGATGACGGTGCGCCTTGCAACAGGCGCATCGATAACCGTTGAAAAACGTGTAGTAGGAATCCACTACAAGTTAGAGGGCGAACAGTACGATGATGACTTCATCGTACTAGATCTGGATGAAAAATCTGATGTCATCCTGGGATTACCTTGGCTCAGAAAGTACGAGCCAAGGGTGAGCTGGCAGCATCGATCCGTGAAGATGCCAGCCACTTGTTCATCAGATGGCCATCTGATAAACATCTTGGAGCGTCCACAAGCGTGTGGATGTGCTGCGAGCTAGTGCGATGGCCTCACTTGCGGTTCGGTCGTTAGCACGACTGCACAAGATCACAGTGTAGTTGATCACTACACTGTGGAGCAAGCTCCCGGCGGCTGTACAGAAGTACAGGCTGCGCCGAAGGTCCACCACTCGAAGAAGTCGAGTGGACCGGGACATGGATGCATGCCTAGCGGGCAGCATCTTAGAAGAAAGAAGTCTGTTGCCTCCAAAGGGCAACATGAAAATCCTAGGTCGACTGGAGAGTCGAACGTAGAGGATCGGTCCCTGACTGTGGTTGCACAGCCACAGTCGGAAGACATCGAGGGAATAAGTCCCCACGTACTTGAGGAAGGAATTCCTCAAGAGTCGCTTGCTTAGGGATTAGGCCCTCAGCAACCTGTGGAACGAAGTTCCCAGAGAGAAACCGAGACGTTGAACGTCTTGGTTAATGACGGATCAAGCGTAGGCGCTTATACGCTTGATCTGATTGTGCCTCCGAAGTTGACTTCGGAGATAACTCAGTTGCCAACGCTAGAACCGAAACGGTTCTTGCGTGATCTGCGTAGTGGCAAAGTCAAGCAGATCTGCATACTCGTCACAGAGGACGAGTATGTGACCGACATTCGGTCGGCAACAGTATTTGCTGAGAACGAACGGGTTCTCAGCAGCTCATCGATGGACGAAAGTGTCCTCGATGAGAAGACTCGGATTGAGCGATGCACGTCTCAATCCTGGGAGTCACTTCAGGCAAATCCTTTGTATAAGGATTTGATCGAATTTAGGAATGTGTTCCCTGAATCCGTACCTTGCGAGTTGCCTAAGGACAAAGGCACTCGACACGATATCGAGCTCAGACCGGGCTCGAAGTACTGTGTCGTGAAGCAGTGGCCACTTCCTCGTGAACAAGTGATAGCGATCGACAAGTTCTTTGCCGATCGCTTAGCAGCGGACCATGTGAGGGAATCAACATCCCCTCACAGCTCTCCGACCTTCTGTGTGCGAAAGGCCACAGGAGGGTGGCGGATAGTGCACGCGTTCAATAAATTGAAAGCAGCAACGGTACCGGCTCAGACGCCGATACCGAGGAAGGACGTAATCATAGATGGTATGTCAAAGAGTACCATCTTTTCGTCCATGGATCTGATGGATGGATTCTATCAGATCCTCATGCGTGAACGGGACATCCCGTACACAGCAGTGATCACCCCCACCGGGATGCTGTCGGAGTGGCTAGTGATGCCACAGGGGCTGAGCAATGACCCTGCAACATTCAACAGATGTGTCACAAATCTGTTGAGACCGGTGCGAGACTTCGCACCGAGTTACTTCAACGATGTGTTCGTCCATAGCCGGGCTATGGACGAAAATACGGACGTTGAAGTTCACAGAACTCACGTTCGTCAATTCCTTAAACTTA